ACTATAAACTTAATAATTCAATCAAAATAAAATCTCACAACATGGCTGAAAATACTGGAAACTTTCGGCCTGCTTTATCAAATCTTGCTCAGGAGGCGTGTAATCTTCTGGATAATTTGGATGATAGAAATACTTTGACAATTGAACGCATCAAATTCTGATAGCATCAAATTCTCAGGCAACTTTGACTCAGGAAGATGGGGGAAATATTGGAGGAAATTTTTTGTCCGTAACTTCTGTACCCCTAAATCGACCAGGTCTTCCGTCCAAAAGACTGAGGCAATCTGTTTCAAACTACCCAAATTAAAACACAAATAATATTGCATTAACAAGTGGGCAAAGAAGCAGCGCAAATGTACCCGCTGCTCTTCGACGTCATTTCTAGCACTTTTATCAACTATTTCATCAAATAAAATCAAAAGACCACCAAAAATATAAAGAAACGTTGCATTGTTTACAAAGATCTTGTCCTACTTCAATCTTCCACATCTCAATGATGTCAGCTTGAAAATAGAGGATTTGTTGTACATGGATGCCCAATTGACAAGTCTTGTGAAGAGTCTTAACTCAAAAACAAAAAATAGATGAATGGTTTCCTTTCTTAGAAGAAAATAATATTGATATTAACTTTCGCAAATCTTGCTATGGTCATATTGTAACTCCAAAACTAGCAGGAGGTGTTCAATTCAATTCTTCACGAGTTTTAACATTTCCGGACAAGGAAGTATTTATATAAGACCAAAAGACGATCTTCCCGATGTTGATGAGGGTACATTTAGTCCAGGAAAAGGAAAATTTCCTGAAACATCTTTGGATATGCCAAGCTCTTTAAATTCCAGTCTGAGAGCAAGTTTTCAATAATAATGAGCCATGTCTTTCATCTGTAACAAGTAATAACAGGAGTGAAGCTACATTACGAGAAATGTTTCTAAAGAAGGATGATGACGTGTTACTTCATGTTTTAGAAGTAAGTGGGACTGTAGATAGAGCATGATTTGGTACTTGCTGCAAACAGCAACGAGCAATTATTATCAATTAATAACGATAATGATGATGAAGTTCTTATTCAAGATGTCTCTTCTTTGTCTGAAGAGGCGACATTAGATTCTATACTTAAAGATCTTTCAAAAATACTATGTAAAGAAAAGTAAAAATTTAAAGTTGAAGATGAGGACCTTTTTAGTGATGTAATGTCCTATTATAAAGATCCCAATTTTGATGAAAGGAAACCATTGAAAGTTATTAATAAAAGACAACAAACAGTTAATACTGGAGGGGTTGCCAGGCAGTTTTTTACAAATCTGCTCAATAAAGTGAATGAAATGTTTTTTGAAGGTGATGCCTACCAAAGTCTAGTATATAATGCTGGTGTTGTTGCGTCAGGAATTATGAAATATTTTGGAACAACTATTGTCCATAGTATTTTGCGAGGTGGACCTGGTTTTCCGATATTCAGTCCTTCTGTGTACAGATATTTTTCTATTGGTAATTTTGAATTGGCTATGAGAACTGCAAACATTGGAGAATGTACTGCACACATAAAGAATTTCATTGATCAGGTGATATACCTAATACATATTGCTTTGTATGGTTTAAGCAAAAATCATAAAACCTCAACCTTAACTAATAATCATTAGTATAGCATTGTTTCTCTAAGTTCAACGTCACTTATGGTAGACCGAAATTCCTCCACATCAATTTGAAATTCTACACGTCTTCGTTTTAATGTTTTTGTTGAGATACTCAATAATTCAGCAATTTTAGTCCAAGAAAAGTGCAATTCCCCAAGGCATTTTACTAATCTCTTAGATATTTCGAGTCGCGGTTGGCCTTTTGTATTTGTGTACTTTCTATTGCAATTGTTGGTTGGAATATAAGGTATCTGATTCTTAAGGTCGTTGATAAGTTCCTAAAAGAAACTCTGAAGTCGACTTAAATAGAAAAATAACTGGTGCATATCATTATAAAAAGTCGCCACATCAAAATCATCCATAAGATTTAATGCTCTCTGTTTTATCGTGAAAACAGTGTATCCAGCATCTGAAAGTCGCTCGTGTATGCCCTCTAAACCGTTGATATTGTGAAAAAATAGGTGTCCTGAAATAATAAAATCCTCTGCTTTAGCAACAATTGCTTTAGTTCTCTGAAAGAATGAATAAACAATGTGTTCCGAGCCTCCAATGCCTCCTAAACCCACCATTTCGAATTTGAGAAAAAAGCGTGTAAACCTTGTAAACGAAGTGGGATCGAAAAGTACTATGCAACACGATGTAAACAATTCGCCATACTGTATATGAAAATTTTTCACAGACCATATAAAAAATACGGCGATTGTCATGTTATAAAAAGGATTGGAACGCTGCATGAAAGTTCGGAATAGGCTTTAAATTTTGACGATGCGATACGAGAAGTTTCGAACGTATAAGAAAAGTTTAGAATGTCCTACAGCAAGTTTCGGACATATTTTTTAGATTTATCTCGAAGTATATAAAGTTTGCCACGAAAACAACCATCGTGACTATGCTTACAAGACCCGAATCTATAAAAGATGAAGGAGGTTGGTAAAAAAACAGAAAGGTCCGAACTTTCTAAATAAAGACAAGAAAGCAAGGCCAATAAAAGTTTTAGTATATGGTATTTATTGACCTAAAACGAAGCTTCTTTCCTTTTCCACCTTCATGTGTTTGTCAGTAAAATATAACTGATTTAAAATTGTTTTTTTTGTTCCTTTTTATCGATTCTCCTTCTACGCGTAATTTTACTAATAAATATAAACAAACTTAATAGAGCATAGTTGCAAAGATTAGATAGCCGGAAAAAACAAAGAAAAAAATTGCGTTAAAGAATGAGTATCAGGCTTATACTTTGAGCGCTTAACATTTATGTTTTCATACGGGAATTTTCTAGCACTTTCGTAGGATAAGCAATCTAATGTATATTCCGTACAGGTTTTGTTTCGTTTCTTGACTTATGTGATCATATTTAATTATAGGTAGCATAATGATAATGCATATGGTCAAAAACAACCGTTGTGGCTATAATTAAGAGAGTCAGGAATAGTGATCAGACGTATAACAACACTTTTGTTGGTAAGAGGCTGCTGAGTAATAGTGGTTAAAGGCCTGCGAAAGCATGTAAGAGAACTGTGTATTCTCAACTTGCTACACTAAAGCCGGTTACAGATGAATGAGTCGACTAAGTTTTTCGGTGACAACTTTTGCTTCACTAGATTTTTATTCACCATGTCAGGTCCGTACCAGTACAATGATTTCCTTTGCAAGTTTTTTTTATTACAATGATTTGCCTCTCATGTCGGCATGTCAACAAATATAACTTAAAATTGTCTTAACAGTAGCTAGAGCGATAAGCTGGTAGAGCGTAATGTGCGCAAAAATGCGCCTTTTTTGAAATATCGATTGTCGTAGAAAAATACATTGCGTATGTTTGCTTGTTTAGTGAAGAAAGAATGTTTTCTTGTTGAATTGCTATGACACTTCTAATGCAGCATGAAACTAAGAAAGGCATAACAATTAAATGTGGTGGACGAGACTCATGGCAGCCGAGTGTCGTAGATTGTCGCAATGGTTTGCCAGCAATTTAATGCAAGGTAGTCAAAAAACGAATTATGGAATAGTTCACAACTTTTTCCTGTTTTTCGTGATTGTCATCGTATTATGCTAAGTGTATTATGATTATTTGTCTGCACATTTATAATCGTCTCATTCCGGTATTGTTTTAGAATGGATTTAACTTTGTTTGATGAGCTCTTAAAGATAGAAACGCCTAGAATAACTAAGAATAAAAACATGCGAGATGCCATTTGTGCTCATGATAATTTGTTTGTCACTCTACCCTTATTGGCATCTGAAGAATAATTACGCCTTGCTTTGATATTCATTAAGCATTTCTGTCTCAATCATTTCAGTATTATTTCCTGAAGTTAAACAAAGCAATATGCAAGCTGCTGGAAGGTGCCGTTGCTGCGGGAAATATCATTAAAATGTACATATGCTCGTATTCAATGATGGTTAATTCATGCTTAACCGTAAGTATTTACTCAAGCTTGCTAAGATAAGCTAAGCCTGGAGGCAGCTGAAGGATGTAATGTGGCATATTTCAACTTACAAGCTATACTTTGTAAAATTTGCCTAGCTTGCTTAAGTTAAAAATCTTTGTTTCTTTTAAACAATATACCATTGTCTACAAAAACATCCTGATTGGGTTTACAAATATTCTGCTAATTTCGCTTTTTTTGGAAGCTTAAGTGTTCGGATGGGTCTGACGTGAGATTGCCATGTTTTTAGTTACTAAAGACATTCTTTATCCAGAATCACAATATTACTTTGCAATATGGGTTATCCAGCCATGCTGATTAGCCCTAATACATGGGGAAATAGCAAATATGTAAATAATTTTTTACAGTATTAAGTAAACTTCAGCACAATTAAATTCTCCAATTTTGCAGGCAATTTTTAAAGGCATTTTGCTTTGGATAATTCCATGAAGGTTCGGCATGATAGTCAAATTGTTGTCATGTCTGTAACGCAGTGAAATATTTATCATTAGCATTGAGTAGAACTAAGAATCACTAACATGTTGTGACTCAGGCAGTTTGCTAGGCGTACGTCCATAAAAATTGGTTGCAAACAAACGTAAATATTGATGGTGACAGTTCTCTTATCGCAAAAGTTGTTATAAATTACTAAGAAAACATTTATCAAAAACAATTGCTTAAGAATTCACCAATGAATATTTCGCAACTGTTTCAATTAGTAATATTTTGTTGATTAACATTTAACCTTGCATATGTAGGCTGATAAGGAACTTGTTTCAGAAGTGAAAAGATGTGAGAAAAAATTAAAGAACATTTAGTTCATTGTTGTCGTCTATTATAAAGTATGTTAGCAAGTAACTAAGTTAGCTACTCCATTGGATTGTAAATGCTTGTAAAAATTCATCTATGAACTTACGGCTGTGCTCGAGATTGCAAATGCTCCATATCAATCAAATGCCTGGTATAATTAATATTAACTTGATGGAAGAATATGCAAAAGATTATGATAACACAATAAACTGCACGAGAGTAAAAGAAATCTAGTCTTGTAAATGTTTGTTTTGCTTACAGCTTGTCTGAATATTAGCAAATTAATGACTGATTACCAAAATTTTTACCCTTTTGTTACATTGATTTTCTTTTGCTACTTTGCATAAATGTACCTCACTTATTTGTCGGATGACGTGGATTATAACTTTATACTACTGGCAGCCATTTTTGTTGCAGCAACATTATCTGGATTTGGACTGCTCGTAACTCTTAGCTTACCAGTCACAGGATCAAACACAAGCTAAAAAAATTGGAAAAGATATGAACTAAAAGCTGAATGAGAACGATCTCCCTTAGAGTGTCGATCGATTTAGTACGAGATTTACAATCGTGTTAGTTGATATTTATAAATATATACTTGATTGCATTGCAATAAGCACATTTTCTACATTAACACTTTTTTAAAAAAATTAGATCTTCATCTCTTTTTTGTTCATTGCAGTCTTAAACAGCAACTGCAATACAAAATAATACTCAATGGACAAAAACATGCTAGCTTTTAACGAGATGAAAATGCAAGGTAAGACTTTATTGTTGAATTTGAATAAATTTTACAACAAAAAATATCCGTAAAAATATAACCGATTTTTGTGTGTCTTAACTGGTCGTCTGGTATACTTCCTACTTTTTTCTTATAAAATTCTCTGAAAAGTGGAGTTGAGAAAACTTAAGAAAACTCTCACAGAAATGTTTTTGTTCTTAAACACTAATCCTGTCCTTCTTTCTATAAGAAAACGTTTTAATGCACAATTAAATGTCGAAACAACTTCAGCCATAGTTTGTTAAGAATTTTTAAAAAATCAACTGGTCAATAAATCCATTTAAAGAAAAGTATAGAACAGAGACTTATCCAAAAAATCTGTTTTATTTAGAGATGCTTAACATTTTCTTTGTTTAACAAATAGATAACATCTAACCGATGTCTATACAGTATACATTTCATTTGTGATAATACTACAAAAGTGGCCACGAGTCACCAGGCTTAGTTTTTATAAAAAAAATCTCACCCAAGTATCAATAATTGTATAAACGACGGTTAAATGTCATCTATTTTTTTATAAGATACAATCGAAAAATTCCCAAATTAAATGGTAAAACAGTTTTTTTTCTTTGTCCCGCCACACTTGGAACACTGAAAAGTCCTCAGTTTGCAAGTATCACGCATGATCCATACGATCGAAGAGATGCTATTGGATAGTTTAGTCACGCGATAAAATGTGATTGGCTAACAAAATAAACCAGCAATGGCTGATCAATTTTGTTGAAATTTGGTTATCGAAGCAAAGTACAAATCAACGCTTAAAAACCGGGTGTTTCTTTCCTTTTTGCTCATAATAGGTCCAATGCTTTGAGTAAGCATTTTTGATTTCATTATTTGCCTATTCAGGGATAACTTCAGGTAAATAATCAAATAATAACGCCGTTCGTTTGTCATTTAAAAGCAAGCAATTTTCTGTAATGTCCATTTTGTAAGTCAGTTCACTTGTAGATCATACCTCTCAACCAAAGAAATTTCTCAAATTCTTCTGGTTATTATATAAAATTTCTTAGAACAATGTTATCACAACTTCGAGTAAATATGCGTCGCATAATGTATTAAGAACTATTACAGCCATTAATTACAGCTTATACTATGTTTAGCATGTTATGTAGATTTAGTGTCTAGATTTAGACTTATAATCGTCTCATTCCGGTATAGTTTTAGAATGGATTTAAATTTGTTTGATGAGCTGTTGAAGATAGAAGCACCTAGAATAACTAAGAATAAAAACATGCGAGATGACATTTGTGCTCATGATAAAATGTTTGTCACTCTACCCTTCTTGGAATCTGAAGAATAATTACGCCTAGCTTAGATATTCATTTAGCATTTCTGTTTCAATCATTTCAGTATTATTTCCTAAAGTCAAACAAAGCATTATGCAAACTGCTGGAATCAGCCGTTGGTGCGGAATAGGTCATTAAAATGTACCTATGCTCGTAGGCAATGATGGTTAATTCAAACCTTACCGTAGGTATTTACTCAAGCTCACTAAGATAAGCTAAGCCTCGAGGCAGCTGAAGGATATAATGTGGCATATATCAACTTACAAGCTATACTTTGTAAAATTTGCCTAGCTTGCATAAGTTAAAAATCTTTGTTTCTTTTAAACAATATACCATTGTCTACAAAAACATCCTGATTGGGTTTACAAATATTCTGCTAATTTCGCTTTTTTTGCAAGTTTAAGTGTTCGGATGGGTCTAACGTAAGATTGTCAGGTTTTTAGTTACTAAAGACTTTCTTTATCCAGAATCACAATATTACTTTGCAATATGGGTTTTCCAGCCATGCTGATTAGCCCTAATACATGGGGAAATTACAAATATGTAAATATTTTTTTACAGTATTAAGTAAAATTCAGCACAATTAAATTCTCCAATTTTGCAGGCAATTTTTAAAGGCATTTTGCTTTGGACAATTCCATGCAGGCTCGGCATGATAGTCAAATTGTTGTCATGTCTGTAACGCAGTGAAATATTTATCATTAGCATTGAGTAGAACTAAGAATGACTAACTTGCTGTGACTCAGGCAGTTTGCTAGGCGTACGTCCATAAAAATTGGTTGCAAACAAACGTAAATGCTGATGGTGACAGCTATCTTATCGCAAAAGTTGTTATAAATTACTAAGAAAACATTTATCGAAAACAATTGCTTAAGAATTCACCAATGAATATTTCGCAATTGTTTCAATTAGTAATATTTTGGTGATTAACCTTTAACCTTGCATATGTAGGCTGACAAAGATTTTGTTGCAGAAGTGAAAAGATGTGAGAAAAAATTAAAGAACATTTAGTTCATTGTTGTCGTCTATTATAAGGTATGTTAGCAAGTAACTAAGTTAGCTACTCGATTGGATTGTAAATGCATCTAAAAATTCATCTATGAACTTACGGCTGTGCTCAAAATTGCAAATGTTCCATATAAATCAAATGCCTGGTATAATTAATATTAACTTGATGGAAGAATACGCAAAAGATTATGATAACACAATAAACTGCACGAGAGTAAAAGAAATCTAGTCTTGTAAATGTTTGTTTTGCTTACAGCTTGTCTGAATATTAGCAAATTCATAACTGATTACCAAAATTTTTACCATTTTGTTAGATTGACTTTCTTTTGCTACTTTGCATAAATGTACCTGACTTTCTTCTCGGATGACGTGGATTCTAACTTTGTACTACTGGCAGCCATTTTTGTTGCAGCAACATTATATGGATTTGGACTGCTCGTAACTCTTAACTTACCAGTCGTAGGGTCAAACACAAGCTAAAAAAAGTGGAAAGGATATGAACTAAAAGCTGAATGAGAACGATCTCCCTTAGGTTAACGATCGATTTAGTACGAGATTTACGATCGTGTTAGTTGATATTTATAAATAAATTCTTGATTTCATTGCAATCAGCACATTTTCTACATTAACAACTTTTTAAAAAATGACATCTTCATCTCTTTTTTTTCATTGCAGTCTTAAACAGCAACTGCAATACAAAATGATACTCAAAGGACAAAAAACATGCTAGCTTTTAACAAGATGAAAATGCAAGGTAAGACTTTATTAATGAATTTAAATAAATTTTACAACAAAAAATATCCGTAAAAATATAACCAATTTTTGTGTGTCTTAACTGGTCGTCTGGTATACTTCATACTTTTTTCTTATAAAATTCTCTGAAAAGTGGAGTAGAGAAAACTTAAGAAAACTCTCACAGAAATGTTTTTGTTCTTAAACGCTAATCCTGTCATTCTTTCTATAAGAAAACGTTTTAATGCACAATTAAATGTCGAACAACTTCAGCCATAGTTTGTTAAGAATTTTTAAAAAATCAACTGGTCAATAAATCCATTTAAAGAAAAGTATAGAACAGAGACTTATCCAAAAAATCTGTTTTATTTTGAGATGCTCAACATTTTCTTTGTTTAACAAATAGATAACATCTAACCGTTATCTATGCAGTATACATTTCATTTGTGATAATACTACAAAAGTGGCCACGAGTCACCAGGCTTAGTTTTTGTAAAAAAAATCCCACCCAAGTACCAATAATTGTACAAACGACGGTTAATTGTCATCTATTTGTTATATAAGATAAAATAGAAAAATTCCCAAATTAAATGGTAAAACAGTTTTTTTTCTTTGTCCCGCAACACTTGAACACTAAAAAGTACTCAGTTTGCAAGTATCACGCATGATCCAAACGATCGAAGAAATGCTATTGGCTACCTTAATCACGCGATAAAATGTGATTGGCTAGCAAAATAAACCAGCAATGGCTGATCAACTTTGTTGAAATTTGGTTATCGAAGCAAAGTACAAATCAACGCTTAAAAACCGGGTGTTTCTTTTCTTTTTGCTCATAATACGTCCAATGCTTTGAGTAAGCATTTTTGATTTCTTTATTTGTCTATTCAGGGATAACTTCAGGTAAATGTTCAAATAATATCGCCGTTCAATTGTCATTTAAAAGCAAGCAATTTTCTGTGATGTCAATTTCGTAAGTCAGTTCACTTATAGATCATACCTCTCAACCAATGAAATTGCTCAAATTCTTCTGGTTATTATATAAAATTTCTTTGAACAATGTTGTCACAACTTCGAGTAAATATGCGTCGCATAATGTATTAAGAACTATTACAGCCATTAATTACAGCTTATACTTTATTTAGCATGTTATGTAGATTTAGTGTCTAGATTTAGACTTATAATCGTCTCATTCCGGTATAGTTTTAGAATGGATTTAAATTTGTTTGATGAGCTGTTGAAGATAGAAGCACCTAGAATAACTAAGAATAAAAACATGCGAGATGACATTTGTGCTCATGATAAAATGTTTGTCACTCTACTCTTCTTGGAATGTGAAGAATAATTACGCCTATTTTAGATATTCATTTAGCATTTCTGTCTCAATCATTTCAGTATTATTTCCTAAAGTCAAACAAAGCATTATGCAAGCTACTGGAATGCGCCGTTGCTGCGGAATAGGTCATTAAAATGTACATATGCTCGTAGGCAATGATGGTTAATTCAAACCTTACCGTAAGTATTTACTCAAGCTCACTAAGATAAGCTAAGCCTCGAGGCAGCTGAAGGATATAATGTGGCATATATCAACTTACAAGCTTACTTTGTAAAATTTGCCTAGCTTGCATAAGTTAAAAATCTTTGTCTCTTTTAAACAATATACCATTGTCTACAAAAACATCCTGATTGGGTTTACAAATATTCTGCTAATTTCGCTTTTTTTGGAAGCTTAAGTGTTCGGATGGGTCTAACGTGAGATTGCCAGGTTTTTAGTTACTAAAGACTTTCTTTATCTAGAATCACAATATTACTTTGCAATATGGGTTTTCCAGCCATGCTGATTAGCCCTAATACATGGCGAAATAGCAAATATGTAAATATTTTTTTACAGTATTAAGTAAAATTCAGCACAATTAAATTCTCCAATTTTGCAGGCAATTTTTAAAGGCATATTGCTTTGGACAATTTCATGCAGGTTCGGCATGATAGTCAAATTGTTGTCATGTCTGTAACGCAGTGAAATATTTATCAATAGCATTTAGTAGAACTAAGAATCACTAACTTGTTGTGACTCAGGCAGTTTGCTAGGCGTACGTCCATAAAAATTGATTGCAAACAAACGTAAATGCTGATGGTGACAGCTATCTTATCGCAAAAGTTGTTATAAAATACTAAGAAAACATTTATCAAAAACAATTGCTTAAGAATTCACCAATGAATATTTCGCAATTGTTTCATTTAGTAACATTTTGGTGATTATTCTTTAACCTTGCATATGTAGGTTGACAAAGAACTTGTTGCAGAAGTGAAAAGATGTGAGAAAACATTAATGAACATTTAGTTCATTGTTCTCGTCTATTATAAGGTATGTTAGCAAGTAACTAAGTTAGCTACTCGATTGAATTGTAAATGCATGTAAAAATTTATCTATGAACTTACGGCTGTGCTCGAGATTGCAAATGCTCCATATCAATCAAATGCCTGGTATAATTAATATTAACTTGATGGAAGAATATGCAAAAGATTATGATAACACAATAAACTGCACGAGAGTAAAAGAAATCTAGTCTTGTAAATGTTTGTTTTGCTTACAGCTTGTCTGAATATTAGCAAATTAATGACTGATTACCAAAATTTTTACCCTTTTGTTAGATTGACTTTCTTTTGCTACTATGCATAAATGTACCTGACTTACTTTCTCGGATGACGTGGATTCTAACTTTGTACTACTGGCAGCCATTTTTGTTGCAACAACTTTATCTGGATTTGGACTGCTCGTAACTCTTAGCTTACCAGTCGTAGGGTCAAACACAAGCTAAAAATTGGAAAGATATGAACTAAAAGCTGAATGAGAACGATCTCCCTCAGGTTGTCGATCGATTTAGTACGAGATTTACGATCGTGTTAGTTGATATTTATAAATAAATTCTTGATTGCATTGCAATCAGCACATTTTCTACATTAACACTTTTTTAAAAAAATGAAATCTTCATCTCTTTTTTGTTCATTGCAGTCTTAAACAGCAACTGCAATACAAAATGATACTCAATGGACAAAAAACATGCTAGCTTTTAACGAGATGAAAATGCAAGGTAAGACTTTATTGTTGAATTTAAATAAATTTTACAACAAAAAATATCCGTAAAAATATAACCAATTTTTGTGTGTCTTAACTGGTCGTCTGGTATACTTCATACTTTTTTCTTATAAAATTCTCTGAAAAGTGGAGTAGAGAAAACTTATGAAAACTCTCACAGAAATGTTTTTGTTCTGAAACACTAATCCTGTCATTCTTTCTATAAGAAAACGTTTTAATGCACAATTAAATGTCGAACAACTTCAGCCATAGTTTGTTAAGAATTTTTAAAAGATCAACTGGTCAATATATTCATTTAAAGAAAAGTATAGAACAGAGACTTATCAAAAAAATCTGTTTTATTTTGAGATGCTCAACATTTTCTCTGTTTAACATATAGATAACATCTAACCGTTGTCTATACAGTATACATTTCATTTGTGATAATACTACGAAAGTGGCCACGAGTCACCAGGCTTATTTTTATAAAAAATCTCACCCAAGTATCAACAATTGTATAAACGACGGTTAAAGGGGAAGTCAGAGTTCGGAACAACTTTGGCCCAAATGAAAGATTATATTTTTATTACCTTATATACCAAATATTATATCTTCTAGTTAAATACAAGTCGAGATATAAAGCGATGAAACCACGAAATTTTGTATATTTTGTATCAGCTATTATGTACATGCGAGCGAACCTGCGATCAAGCAGCGGTAAAGTCTCGTGACGTCACTGCGCGCTTTCGCGGGAGCGTATATATATTCAAATAGACAACATATCAGGAAAAGCGACACAATTACAATTACTTTGTTTACTTTAAATATTTCGGAACAATGCCACATTGCATGGTGCCTAATTGCACTAACGGATCTAGAAAACAAAAGGTAACGATGTATCGTATCATCGATTGCCAAACGACCCAACAATGCAAAAAATATGGCTTGCACGGGTTCGTCGTGATAATATACCGAAGCCAAATTCATGTTACGTATGTAGCGACCATTTCACCCCAGATTGCTTTAGTACTTCTCTAAAGGAGATATTCGGCATGAAATCGAAAAAGATATTAAAACCTAGTAGTGTACCATCGATATTTCCATTTTAAATCGTAAACCCGAGCGAAAAATGTCACACAGAAGAGAACAAATGAGAGATAGAATTGCAAGACATGAGGTAAATAGGATATTGCAACCATATAGATTATATTTGAAGTTATTGAACTGTTCTTTAAACAATTAGCTTTTTACTCTCTTGGTTGAGAAGTTTGACTATTTTGTAGGAAGTTAGAAGCATAATACTATCACTAGATGAAGATACAAATCTTGCAACATGCATTGAAGATCAGCCTCCCAGTCCATTGTCCAAGGATGCCCAGATTCAATGTGAGCCAAAAGTTTTCATTGATGCAGAAGCACAGTGTGATACACCAAGACAAAGGACAGTTGCCATACAAACTCTTGCACAAAGAAAAGGAAACCATTAAAAATAAAACGCTTCAAAAAATGTTGCCCCTCTTTAAATGCAGTTTCTTCAAGTCGTACACCAAAACCAGTAACATCCCCACAACTCCTAACACAACAACTCCTATCACAACAACTCCTATTATATCATCTGATTCAGAAATCTCTTTAGGAAGCAGTGATGATATTGCTGCATCAGATAGTGATGATGATTATACCTATCTTGAGGAACTAGATACAGATGAGGAATCTGAAGGTGAGGAACTAAAAAATCAAAGAAAATTCATTGTCTTTGAAAGCATGCTTGATAAGCTGTTCGCAACATGTAGAATATGTGGTTCTCTTTGTGAGATTGAGAAGTCCCATATTGGTAGTATGGTTGCCATAAAAAAACATGTAGCAATAATCATACTTACCAGTGGAAGTCTCAACCAGACTTGCACAATAAACCAGCAGGTAATATTTTAATTCCTGCTGCAACTATCATGACTGGAGGAACCTATGAAGCCACCAAGCAATTTGCAAATGCAATTAATTTAAACTTTGTAAATAAAGATCAGTTTTATGAAGTTCAAAATAAGATTGTCTTCCCAGTCATTGACAATGTCTATAAAAAACAACAAAAAGAAATTATTGTAACCATCAAAAACAAAATGAAACCGGTTGACTTATGTGGTGATGGTAGATCAGACAGTCCTGGTCATAGCGCAAAATATGGTACATATTTCTTAATGGATGAAACTTCAGAGAAAATTATTGACTTTTCTCTTGTTCAAGTCTCTGAAGTTTCATCCTCTAATGCAATGGAGAAAAAAGGATGCCAAAGAGCACTTGACAATGTCATTGAGCAAGGTGTGAAAGTGAGATCATTGACAACTGACCGCCACATTCAAATAACCTCTGAAATGCTAAAGAGGTACCCTTCCATAGTGCACCAATATGATGTTTGGCATCTCTCAAAGTGGGTGACAAAAAAATTGACAGAGAAGGCAAAGAAAAAAGAAAATCATGAGCTACTAGAGTGGATCCAGTCTGTATCCAATCACCTTTGGTGGTGTGCACAAAGTTGTCAGGGAAATGCTGAAGTGCTCCATGAGAAATGGGTGTCCATTTTACATCATATAGTCAACAAACATAATTGGAGAAATAGCAAACATTTTGCAAATGTGCACATGGCCCTTTATCTAAAAACAAAGAAAAAAACGAAATGGTTGCAGGCTGGATCTGCCCCACATATAGCATTGGAGGAGGTTGTTCTGAATAGAAAGCTTTTAAAAGATATACAACAGCTTACAGAATTTCACCATACTGGCAACCTTGAGGTCTACCATTCCTTGCTACTAAAATATGTACCAAAACGTAAACACTTCTCATACAAGGGAATGGTGGCCCGTACTCAACTAGCTGTGATTGATCACAACTCCAACACTGGAAGGAGGCAAGCAACAGTCACCAGAGGTAAGGAAGAAGGGGAAAAAAGGTATAAGGTGGTCTTCCCAAAAGGACGTAAAAAATGGATAGTGAAACCAGTGTTGGAGAAAAAGTGTTTTGATTTTGTACTGCAACTGATGGATGATGTGTAGAGTTCAATGTGGACATGAATCCTCAACCATCAGACAAGCATGTTAAACTTCAAAAGAATATTGCACCTACTCCAAGACCAAGCAAAAAAGAAGTGATAGCAGCACACCGATCACGAATGGCTGAAATACACACATAGGTGTGGCTAAATTATAGAATACCTGGCAATTTTAAATATCAGAAATTTTTCTTGTTAGAGAATGACTAGACAGACCTGGCTTTTATATAGGCCAAGTAAACAGTCAATTAAGTATTTAATAAATGATAATATGACAGCAAACAACTAGCTGCTACAAAAAGAAACAGTCAAGCCAGGTATCCTATAGTTTATTACTCTGACAAAATGTAATCTTTGCAATTGAATCAATTATAGCTACATATGAGACAAAGCCAGCCTGCAAATTTGGTTCTAAAGAAATTAATAATGGTAAAGCTAAGAAATTAACATCACAGGACAAATTTGCAAGCTAGCTTGGCTAGTGATTGTTTATATTATTATTACTATACATAAAACTAGGTGTTTATGTCCTACTTTTGTCAGTCGTGCAGATAATTAACATGCTATTCTATAGCTAGTGCCACATGGCAATTTGAAGCATGTCGCTCCCGTTACTTGAGAAATAGCTACCATGTTGCCAGTAATTTTTTACACCATCGTGGGCTTTGTAGTAATTATGGTTAGAATAAGGTTCGGTGTAAGTATAAGTTAGCAACAGCGCTTTGAAATTCATAAATTGAAGATGGCATCAACAGCAAGGTTTTACGATTTACCTACAATTTACAACACAGAATACCGTGTACTAAAACAGAAAAACAAAGTGGGAACAGTTTCTTAAGTAGCGGAGAGGTTTTCTTTAAAGTTTTACACAACCGGTTATCTAACACTTAAATAATAATCTTCCGCGACAGCCAAGTATGTGGGCACGGCCTTACATATTAATACAATTCTTTAATAAACAAACTGTGATTTCGAGGACTGCAAATATGGTGAACCAGATAAAAAGAGTACATATATATATATATATATAAAATGTAATATAGAAATATACAAATACCTCGAAAATTGTGGTGTCGTTAAAACTCTGAATTGGAATCTTCAATACACATATTTTCTGCTTTCGTCTTAGCATGTCAGAAAAATATGTCCCCGTTTCATTAACCAGTTCAAAAGTATAATATTTAAACCCTCCATTTATCTTTGAAATTTCTTTACCATCTTTTAAGTTAAAACAGGTCAAAATATCGCTCGAAGAATCGTTTAAATACGCCATTTACCTAGAAGACTTTAAAATTGACAGACAAAATATCTATTCTATTCTCTTCGAAATTGCTCGATTACAGAGTCGCGCAGTGACGTAACGATGTAATTCCGCTGCTTGATCGCAGGTTCGCTCGGATGTACATTTATATTTGCAAAATAACGCAGTTTCATTGCTTTATTTCTCAAGTTGTATTTAACGAAAAGATTTTAGACTTGGTATGCAAAGTAATAATACAATACTCTTTCATTTGAGCCTAAGTTGTTCCGAACTCTGACTTCCCCTTTAAATGTCATCTATTTGTTTTATAAGATAAAACCGAAAAATTCCCAAATTAAATGGTAAAACAGTTTTTTTCTTTGTCCCGCCACACTTGGAACACTGAAAAGTCCTCAGTTTGCAAGTATCACGCATGATCCATACGATAGAAGAAATGCTATTGGATAGCTTAATCACGCGATAAAATGTGATTGGCTAACAAAATAAACCAGCAATGGCTGATCAGTTTTGTTGAAATTTGGTTATCGAAGCAAAGTACAAATCAACGCTTGAAAACCGGGTGCTTCTTTTCTTTTTGCTCATAATACGTCCAATGCTTTGAGTAAGCATTTTTGATTTCTTTATTTGTCTATTCAGGGATAACTTCAGGTAAATATTCAAATAATATCGCCGTTCGTTTGTCATTTAAAAGCAAGCAATTTTCTGTGATGTCAATTTCGTAAGTCAGTTCACTTATAGATCATACCTCTCAACCAATGAAATTGCTCAAATTCTTCTGCTTATTATATAAAATTTCTTTGAACAATGTTGTCACAACTTCGAGTAAATATGCGTCGCATAATGTATTAAGAACTATTACAGCCATTAATTACAGCTTATACTACATTTTTATGTTATGTGTATTTAGTGTTTAGTTAGACTTATAATCGTCTCATTCCGGTATTGTTTTAGAATGGATTTAAATTTGTTTGATGAGCTGTTGAAGATAGAAGCACCTAGAATAACTAAGAATAAAAACATGCGAGATGACATTTGTGCTCATGATAAAATGTTTGTCACTCTACCCTACTTGGAATCTGAAAAATAATTACGCCTAGCTTAGATATTCATTTAGCATTTCTGTCTCAATCATTTCAGTATTATTTCCTAAAGTCAAACAAAGCAATATGCAAGCTGCTAGAATGCGCCGTTGCTGCGGAATAGATCATTAAAATGTACATATGCTCGTAGGCAATGATGGTTAATTTAAACCTTACCGTAAGTATTTACTCAAGCTCACTAAGATAAGCTAAGCCTCGAGGCAGCTGAAAGATATAATGTGGCATATATCAACTTACAAGCTATACTTTGTAAAATTTGCCTAGCTTGCATAAGTTAAAAATCTTTGTTTCTTTTAAACAATATACCATTGTCTACAAAAACATCCTGATTTGGTTTACAAATATTCTGCTAATTTCGCTTTTTTTGGAAGCTTAAGTGTTCGGATGGGTCTAACGTGAGATTGCCAGGTTTTTAGTTACTAAAGACTTTCTTTATCCAGAATCACAATATTACTTTGCAATATGGGTTTTCCAGCCATGCTGATTAGCCTTAATACATGGGGAAATAGCAAATATGTAAATATTTTTTCTGTAAGTAAGTAAAAATTCAGCACAATTAAATTCTCCAATTTTGCGAACCCAATTTTTAAAGGCATGCTGATACATGCAGTCCATTATGTTCAATAACGCAGTGTATTTATCATTAACAGTTAGACGGCAGTTTGTTGTCAGGTAAAAAATTGATAGCAAACAAACGTAAATGCCGATGGTGACAGCGCAAAAGTTGTTATAATTTACTAAGAAAACATTTATCAAAAACAATTATTAAATAATTCATCAATTATAATATTATAATAATTGTTTATTGTTGCTGAAAAGTGTCAGCCTTATTAGGTATGTTAGCAAGTAACTAAGTTAGCTACTCGATTGGATTGTAAATGCATGTAAAAATTCGTCTACGAACTTACGGCTGTATCGAGATTGCAAATGCTCCATATCAATCAAATGCCTGGTATAATTAATATTAACTTGATGGAAGAATATGCAAAGATTATGATAACACAATAAACTGCACGAGTAAAAGAAATCTAGTCTTGTAAATGTTTGTTTTGCTTACAGCTTGTCTGAATATTAGCAAATTAATGACTGATTACCAAAATTTTTACCCTTTGTTAGATTGACTTTCTTTTGCTACTTTGCATAAATGTACCTGACTTACTTTCTCGGATGACGTGGATTCTAACTTTGTACTACTGGCAGCCATTTTTGTTGCAACAACATTATCTGGATTTGGACTGCTCGTAACTCTTAGCTTACCAGTCGTAGGGTCAAACACAAGCTAAAAAAATTGGAAAAGATATGAACTAAAGCTGAATGAGAACGATCTCCTTAGGTTGTCGATCGATTTAGTACGAGATTTACGATCGTGTTAGTTGATATTTATAAATAAATTCTTGATTGCATTGCAATCAGCACATTTTCTACATTAACATCTTTTAAAAATGAAATCTTCATCTCTTTTTGTTCATTGCAGTCTTAAACAGCAACTGCAATACAAAATGATACTCAATGGACAAAAACATGCTAGCTTTTAACGAGATGAAAATGCAAGGTAAGACTTTATTGTTGAATTTAAATAAATTTTACAACAAAAACATCCGTAAAAATATAACCAATTTTGTGTGTCTTAACTGGTCGTCTGGTATACTTCATACTTTTTCTTATAAAATTCTCTGAAAAGTGTAGTAGAGAAACTTAAAAACTCTCACAGAAATGTTTTTGTTCTTAAACACTAATCCTGTCATTCTTTCTATAAGAAAACGTTTTAATGCACAATTAAATGTCGAAACAACTTCAGCCATAGTTTGTTAAGAATTTTTAAAAAATCAACTGGTCAATAAATCCATTTAAAGAAAAGTATAAGTAGTATAGTACATGGGGGTTCTAGCGCACGAAAAGTGCGCTATAATCCCCATGTATATACTATATAACAACTGGTAAAACTATTTTATAACAGCTTAAAATAAGACCATGGTTCAAAGACGTCCCTCTGGTAAAAAGGTCATGTAAAAAAGCTGTGTAAAAAATTGTTTGTTTCAATATAGTAGTAAAAACTATCTTTACAAACAAATGTTAAGAAAGCATCGGTTCGGAGGCGATCCGGCAGCGCAAATTTTAGCGTAGCTAAAATTGAGCAGGGGGATGGGATCGCCGAGAATTCATGCGAGCCTGGTGGGTAAAAAATTCTAGCTTTAGCTAGAATTTTCGGCTCGCTCCCGTGGTGTCCGAAGGACGACAGAGGCTTAAGAAATGCTCTTTAAAAACTATCTTTACAAACAAATGTTAAGAAAGCATTGGTTTTGATGGGGCTCGGCAGCGCAGATCACGAAGTGATCGAGCAGGGGATGGAGCCCCATCAAATTCTAGGCGACGATGGGAAAATTTTTCACGAAGTGAAAAATTGGGGTCGCCTCCCATTGGATTCGAAGAATATTCGAAGAATATTCGAGAATAACAGAGGCTTAAGAAATGCTCTTCAAAAAACCGTCTTTAATAATCAAGTGTTAATAATCAGTATCAGCGATAGCTGGTTTTTAGCGGCGCGCGTGTCTTAGTGCATGTTTTTCAACAATGGTTGTTTAATGTAATCAGCACATTTCATCAGCGCATGTATAATACAATGTTGTACAAAATATGGAATCTATATGTTTTTTTAATTTGTCTGTCAAGCGAGTGTCATATAATTTTTGTTAAAAGTGTTTTTAATAATTGTTTCAGGATTTTGAATTCTTTTGTATATCGCTTTTTTATTAATTACTTATTACAAACAGTTATGTGATATGTAGTCAAACATGAGGAGCAGGTATGTATGATTTTACTCTAACAGAGGCCCACGCTACATGCTTACTACACATTATAACTGTATATTAAAATAAGTTTTAATTATTATTTAAATAATGACCATAAGCTCTAGTAGTTATACCATCATCTAATATATACCGTTTATCATCAAAACAGCTAAGTGATACTTTATTAATTTCATAACTACTAAGTTGATGGTTTACACTTCTAATAGTTTTCATTGTATGATGTATTTGTTTATTTTCAAATAGTGTTTGTTTATAGTCTTCATATTTTATTTTGTTTTTAATAATATTTTTCTTAATTCCTTTAGCTTTTTTATCTCCTTTATTATTATCTTTAATATAACTATACATCTTACTTCTTAAACCAACAAATTCTTTAATTACTATTCCCGAAGCTTCATCTTTCATTTTACCAATAACTTTTTTATTAGTATTATCATAATATTTATGGTATTTATCATAATCACTGTTATCAAATTTATCTTTATCACTCCAAAAATCTTGATATACATCATTAGTTTCAATTTCATATGTTAAACTATCTGTATCTGTAAATAATAATTTAGCTTTATCACCATACCGATTTTTGATATAGTTGTAATGAAAATCATACATCAAAGTTTTACTTAAATCTAAGATACACATACCCACATATGCAGGTCTATTAAGGGTGTTGTTCTTTGATCTTATGCAGCCACAAGGTTCTCATTGAAAATTTTACTACTTACATAAGTAGGTTTTGAAGCTAATTTTAATAATTTATTTTTATTAGTTACTAGTCTAACATCTACTCTTTTTCGTAAGTTTTCCATCGTCTTACCAAAAACACTGTTATTCATGAGTTTGAAGAAGTCTTTTCAAAAGAATTTTTGCATTAGTTCTTTTTGAGTATTAAAGTCTATGTATTTTTCAACCATGGAGATTGATTAAATTCAAGTACTCTATGTACTTTTTAATTTTAACCAAGATCTAAATATAGTTGAAGATTTCTATAATGTAAAACATTATTTTATTTTGCAATGTAGGTATTAATTTTGAAACTAAACCTGTTGATATATTGTAATTAGAAGCAATCTTACAATATTTTGACAGCATTTCGCTAGTTACCTTAACTTTTCTGGTGCAACAGGATAATCGTTATGTAAATTATGTAGTTCTTCAGGGTATTCTAAATCAACTTCTAAAATTAAACCTTTTTACTATCTGCTTGATATTTAGCAAGGTTTATGTTGTTAATCTGTTTCTCAGTTAACCATTTGAAACCACCAGTAGGTAAGGTATTGTGACATAGCCCATCCATATAAATTGTTAGCGTCTAAATACATTATATATTTTGAGGGTTTATTCTTATCAAATGTTTCCATATACTTGTTATTAGCTTTACCATATCGATTAGAAATATAAGAAACACCTCCTCTCATACCCTTTTCAATGAATTGAAACATGTCAATATCAGTCATTAGTTCTAATTTAATATCTGTCATTTTAAGCATAGAATCCCATGAAAGGCCAGGACTAGAAAAATAATAACATGGGTCTAAATTATAGTATTCAAGACATGTTTTCGAAAGTTTTCAAATACATCAGCTAATAACAAAACGTCTGATTTTAAATACAAATCGTGGTAATCACCCATGTTTTTAAGATTGAATGTATTCCAAACATTTTGAGCATGCTTATAAGAATCATCTGATATATTCTCATTAGTAAGAATACTATAAAAGTCTTCTTTTGAAGGTAACCCCTCATCAAACTTTTCAAAGCTATCCATATAATCATATGGGTATATACCTTTTTTAGTCATTAAATTAAGTTTTTCACCTTCAAACTGCTTAGAGGTATATTTAAATGAATCTTTAGGTAAATTACTAACAAGCTTTTCAAGACTAGAACTCATAAATTGAAAACTATCAAGAAATGTTAAATGGTTACCTAGCATGAAAGCCATATACTTTTCCATATTATTAGGTATAGCATTTATATTCATATGCGTTTCATCACCTTTTTTGTTTTTGTATGTATGCTTATTAACAATAGCTCCGATCTCTTGCATTATGAAGTGACTGTCATACCCACGCAGATTATGAAATATTACTGGGATCTTTAATTTATCAGAGTCTATTCTAAGTTTTAAATTACAATCTTGATGAGCTGACCCTCTATATTTTCCAGTTATATGACAATGGTCTCTAACTCGAATATCTTTGTTAGTATATTTTTTGTTACAGATATGACATTCATCAGCTTTTTTAAATTCTTCTTCATCATCAGATGTCATTTTTAATGGTTTATTAAAGTGGGTTTTCATAATATTTTACAATATTTAACTTCTTTTAACATAGCTTCCATAAATTTGTAAACAGCCTTTTCACCTCTATATAGTTGAATTTTTGTATATTTATCATCATAACAACAAACAACTTTATATCCATAACTACAGTCTGTATGCTTTTGATAGGCTTCTGTATATGATTTTTATTATCTTATTACAACTAGATATCTTTTCTGTAATAGCTTCAAAATCAGCATATATAACAAACGGAACAGCTTGTTGTTTATGATAGTTGTTGAATTTAAGTATGTTATTATTTTTATCAGGCATTTTTATTGATTGTATACCATTTATTAATATACAGTTTTCTATATGGTTATTTAATATTTTTCAGAACTAAAACATTGAAGACAGCGCATACAAAATGTTTTTTTTCTTTCTTTATGCTTTGTTTGATTGTACATAAATTTATTAAAATCTTTTATTAATACATAATGTTTGTTTTCATTATCAGTTATCAATAGTAGTTCCATATGGTCTTCAAATTTTTCTTTTGATATGAATAATGGATATGGTTGTTTATCTTCATAACCGAAGACATTAATGTTAATTTTGTTTTGCTTTTCGATTTTATTATAATGTTTAACAGTCACTGGAAAATCAACCTTCATAATTAAGCTTTTAATATATTCTTTATCAGATTTTTAATTCTGTGTGGTCTTTATTTTGTGGGTTAATATGTCTAATATGGCACCACCTAAAACATTCATTATCATGGTTTTGATATTTATCAAACCTTTATTAGGTTTTAAGTTCTTGTGTAAATTAATGTATGAAGACCTTGTAATGGCTTGTATTTAACAACATTAAGATAATGATTATCTATAGAGCGAATAACCCATCCAGAACCTTCTTGAGTGAATCTATCAATTTTATCTAATATATTTTGTTCTGAAATTTGTAGTGATTCAGTAATATTTTCATTATTTGTAACTGTTAAAGCTGGGCTGTTGAAATAAGCAACTTTTGTTAAATAACCAGCAGCACCACCATCTTTAATTTCGAATTTTTCAAATGTTATTTTAAGAGTTTCAGTATATTTAAGTGCTTTCATTGTTGTTAATATTTCTTTAATATAATATGTAAGATACTTTCTAGTGTTCTGCAATTGTTTAATGGATCTTTATTGTTAATAATGCATTTCATATGATTTAGTAAATCCTTTAAAGCATTGTTTGTTTCCCTTATTTTAACTCTAGGTGTTGGTATTGGTTTTTTATTTTTATCTGATAGCATCTGTGTATTGTTATCATACTCTTTAATCATCTCTTTTACACTCGTTCTTGGTTTTGGGACTGGTGTTAATACTTTGATTAATTCGTTTTTTCTAAGTTTATAATAACCTTTAACCTTGTTTTCTTTAGCAATAATTTTTAACTGTTTTACATTCATTTTTATTAATTGAATAGTAGTTTATAATAAACTTTAACTTAAGTTTATAATTTTTAACTGTTTG